GCCATAGTTGGATTCGAATAGAACAGGAATCTTAACGGATTTGAGCGCGCGCTCAAATCCGACTCGATAAATTTAATTATAAAATGACGATCTTACCCTTATTCATATAATTTCATTAAATAGTATTAATTTATTTATAGAAATAAATTAATTAAGATTCTTTTTAATTATATCCATTGATTTTTATAATATATGGTTGAGATTGATTCTCACAGTTACCACAAACAAATCAGTTCTCATTTGATTAAGCCCCTATATATATATATAATTTTATTATATATTCCTTCATCTTTCCTTTTTTTTATCACATTTATCATATTAACATAAATAATCATATACAAACAAAAATACATTTAAAAATATGTATCCTTTTTGCAAATTATACCATTATAACATACTCCACAATTTCTTCAAAATAAGATTAATATTAATTTTTTTTTATTAAATACCATGAATCTACGAATTAATTTGTTTTATATCCTTAAGTTTTATTTTTTCACCTTTAACATATTAAAAATACTTAGTCATAGATCAACTAAAATACGTTAAAAATATGTTTCTTTTTTATTATCTTACCATTACAATTTTTCTTGAATATCTTCAACCTAAGCTCATTATTGAATATTCTTGTATTTAATAATATTATAAAATTGCATAAATACATACCAATTTATACTGTGTATATCTATAGTATATTAAAAAAAACACATATACCAATTATTGTAGAAAAAAACTAGGTATACAAATCTATATAAATTTATATTATGTACTATTATTTTAAATCTATTCAAAGTTTATACTCAGCTACATTGTACAATATACAATTAGTATCGGGATGGACAAAAAAAAAACTCAAACGTGATTGATATTTCAAGTTCTTGGTTATAAATTGAGATGCACACCACAACATTGCCGCGGGGGGGGGGGGGGGGGGGGGGGGAGATATACTACTACTATATTTAAATAAAGAGAGATTCAGAGAAAAACCTTAAAAAATAAAAAACCGAAAACACTCCATTAAATAGACTGTTACAACTTTATTTTTAAACTAAAAAATTCTCCCACCCCCTATTTTTAAATCGAAAAAAATACGAAATATGATCAAAATGCGAATGAAACAAATCACACCAAAATAACAATAATTCGCATTTTACCTGATCGTCAAGTTTCTAGCCCTAAACTCATAATGGCGAGAAATATATTATTTTATTTTGCATTTTCTTTCTCATATTGAAAGTTTTTCGTTAATTTGACATCCATATCCATATTATTTTTTTTCATTCGTTTTTTCGTGATTTTTCGATTTTTCATTTATTTAACGTTTTCTTTAAAGCATAATCCTATTTAAATAATAATACAATTAATTTTAATAAAATAATAAATAAGGGGGTGTTTGGGATTGCTTATCAAAATGACTTATTAACTTATTTCAGTCTGGTACCGGAGATAAGCAGTTTTTTAGTGTTTGGGTAAAAAAAACTGCTTATACCGGTGCCAAACCGGTAATAAGCAGTTTTTGATAAGTTAATCCGTAGTGACTTATGAAAATCGACTTATTACCAATTTACCATTTTAACCCTGTCTAACACTTATCTCTAATAATCATTGATATCTCTTTCTCCATCTCTTCACCTCTTCTCCATCAGGTACGTCTTCTCCATCTCTCCACCTCTTCTCCAAATCGATATCTCTTCTCCAATCATCATCGCCTCTTCTCCAATCGATATCTCTTCACCTCTTCTCCATCATGAACAAATCGATACCCTAACCCTAGAGATCGATAACCCAATACGAACTGAGATTCCACATCTGTATAAGTAGCCATAAAATACAGGTGCATCTCTTGCTCCTCACCATACAATCGCTCTCCCGCCTACATACATTCTCCGACATCGGTTTTCTGCGACGTGACGTAACGGAAATCACAGATTTGGTGCTCATTGATCGTAACGCCATAGATTTGCGACCATCTTCAGGTAAATTTATTTTACTAATCGATCTTGTAAGTTCTATAGTTTGTTTTCCCCAAAAAGATGAACTTTAAGACCTATATACTTACGATAGGATTACGTAGAGACCTTCCATTGATTTGAAGTGACGTGGGTTTCAATTCTACCCACCATTAATTTTGTCTTTACTATAATTGGGATAAGGAGCCCCCTCTTCTACAACTATCTAATCTTCATCTCTCCCAACCCATATATATACTATACACCATTTTGATTGCTATAATGTTTGAAACACAGAAGAACATCACTCYACAGACCCACCAAAGGAGGCTGCTATTAAGCTCCAACTACTCTAATCATCGACACTGTCATCATATCAGACAGGTAAACCTATTTGTATGGTTTTCTTTTATGGTTTGAATTGGCTTAGAACTCTTGAATTTTGGTAATGTGTATGGGTTTGAACGTTTTGGTAATTGCAGCTTATTAGGGTTTGTTATTCCCAAATCTTTTTTTATATGAATTTGATGCAAGAAGAATTATACATTAGTTCTGCTGTTACAAAATGTTGTGCCGTACTACCTATTTGCTATATTGTTTAATCTAATTTAAAGAAAATCAACATGTTATGCTGCTTAATGTTTTGAAGTTTCAAATCTTTTTTATATGAATTGACCACCAGATTGATACGAAATCCAATTAGTTTTTCTGTTTTGCCTGTTGCGTTGTAAATATTTGAATGTTAATTGATCCTTTTCACGACAGACATTGATTTTTTTGTTTGTTTTTAACTTTGAGACGTGAGCTTATTTATTTCCAGCAATAGCAACTATTACACGATCATTTTACTTGGGAGGTTCATATGTGTTGGTATGACCCTCACTGTGTTAGTTCATATTTAAGATCTCACATGTTTAGTTATTTTATGTTGCATTCGTGCAAGGTTCAGTATCATATGCATAACAAAGTTCAATATTTCACGATTTAATGGAAGTTCAATATTTAGAAAATGTCTTGATAACTGTTTAACACGAAAATCATGAACTAGTTGTGTGTACCTAAGGTTCGGCCAAAGTGGAAAGAGAAGAGATAGTTGAAGACGTAGTTCTATGTCCCACATCTAGCCGTGATTGATTTTGTGTTTTAGCTTGAACTACGTCTCGGTTCTTGCTTTGGATATTGATGTTTCTTGGTATCTGAAGATTTCCATGATCATATCAAAGATCTCCTAGATCAGTAATTTGGGGATGCTTATAGGAGTCCTAATTATTTTTTAGGATATTTTGAAATAAAGGATTTAAGAATATAGTGCTAGAGGATTGCCATTGGAACTCATTTATACAACATAATGGAAACTGAATACATTGGTGGTCTTTTTATTAACTTTGTTATTCAGGTAATGGATGCGAACAATGCTCCCGTTGTTGCTAGTGATACATCTAAAAGGAATAAGCCAAAACTTGTTTGGGATAATACTACCTTTATGGTGTTCATTGATTTATGCATGAATGAGGTTAAACTTGGGAATAGACCTRSTAGTCACTTCAATAAGGTTGGGTGGGGAAACATAGAGAAGAAGATTAAGGAACGAACAGGAAAATCTTTTGACAAGAAGCAACTTAAAAACAAATGGGACACTATGAAGAAAGAATAGAAGTTGTATGATCGTTTAATGAGGATTGAATCTGGCATTGGATGGGATCCCCAGAGAAAGACAATTGTTGCATCACCAGAGTGGTGGGACGAAAAAATAAAGGTAATACTTTAGCATTTTATATATATTCTTTTGTTTGCTATTACTTTTTTATGAGTTCCTAGTGAAATTTTCTAATAAGAGCCATTAACACACAGGGAGATAAAGATCTTGCCAAGTTTAGGGACATAAATTTGGAGATTTATCAAGTGTATTATGAGCCTTTGTTCCGGGATTCCGTTGCCGTTGGAGATAAGACTAAGGCTCCCTTTGAATGTCAAAACAATAGCGGTCCAACTAATGTTGAAGATGAAGAAGATCATGAGGGAAAAGGAGATAGTGATGAAGTGAATTTAGGTGACGATGATAAACTTCTTTTTCCGCAAAGTAGTTCGAGTAAGAGGAAGAAGCCGAATAATGTCGCACCTACCCGTTCAACCAAGGGAAAATCTTCTGTAACTTCCTCATTTGAGGATAAACTAGATACTATATTGGAGGCATTATCATCACGAAGCACACAAAGTTTTTCATCACAGAATAATTACTCACCAATGACACAAGAATGCATGGACATTGTGACATGTTTTCCAGGATTTGAAGAAGGTTCAAGGATGTATAGCCAAGCATTACGCATCTTCCTAAAAAAGCAAGTCCGTGAAAATTTTATGGTTCCAAAGACACACGGGGCAAGGATGGAGTTTCTTAAGTTACTTATGGAAGAATGATTCATATCGTGTATTATCGTTTAATATTGTGATATTATGTTTTCAACTGGTTTCGTATCTTGTATTATCGTTTGACATTATGTATGACATTTAATATTATCTATGCTATTTATATGCGTTTTTAATATGTTTGATTTTTTTTATTAATAGGATGGATAGTGATGACTCTGATTCGAGTGATGATAATGAAATAAATTGGATGGAAGAGGAGAACAAATTGCTACTATCATGTGCAATAGCTATTAAAGGGATAATAATAAGTCATAAATTGAGTAGCACGTGTATGCCTTGATGTACATCTTCTCGAACAGGAAACATATTTATTAATGAAGTACTTAACGGTCATCCTAGACGTTGCTACGAAGATTTCAGACTACATGTCCCAGTATTCAAAATGTTATGTTCAGATCTTGCTACACATTACGGGTTAAAGCCAACACGTAATATATGTATTGAGGAATCTGTTGGTATTTTCTTGATGACTTTAGCACATGGGTGTGGGAATAGGTTAATTCAAGAAACCTTTAATCATTCTGGAGAGATCATTCATAGGCATTTTCATGCTGTTTTGAAAGCGGTGCTTAAGTTAAGTGCGGACATCATAAAGCCAAATGCAAAATACAATAAAGATGTACCTGCACATATTTTAAATAACTCTCGTTATTATCCAATGTTCAAGGTACTTCCTATATTTTGCTTTGTATTTGACCGTAACATACTCATAGATTAATTAATTATTTTACTTATATGTGTAGGATTGTATTGGTGCTAACGATGGGACACACGTAAGGGCATCGGTTCGAGAGCATGAGCAAGCAAAATTCATTGGTAGGAAAGGATATGCGACGCAAAATATTATGGCAGTTTGTGATTTTAATATGTGTTTTATGTTTGCATGGGCTGGATGGGAGGGAACTGCACATGATACACGTATATTCTTTGAAGCCTTACGCAGAACTGAACTTAAATTTCCACATTCAATCGGTGGTTAGTATTTTTCTTTTTTGTAATGCAAACTTTTATGTTCTCATACCATTTGAAACGAATAACAGTAGTTTGTTTATTTTTCATAACAGATAAGTATTATGTTGTTGATGCCGGATATCCAAATACTAAAGGTTATCTTTCCCCATACAAAGGAACAAATATTCGTTATCACATACTTGATTTTCGTCGTGGACAAACTGCAGCAATACGTGCTCCCAAACGAGCAAAAGAGACATTTAATTATTATCACTCATCACTGAGGAATGTTATTGAACGAACTTTTGGAGTATGGAAAGCTATGTGGCAAATACTAAAAGATATGCATGTCAATTACACCTATGAGACACAAGTAAATATTGTGCTAGCGTCGATGGCAATTCACAATTATATTAGAATGAATGGAAGTTTTGATGAAGCATTTGACTTGGCGCAACAAGAATCATACAACCCTCATATTGATGTTGATGATGAAGGATGTGGTAGCAACAATGAACCACATGAAAACACAAGTTCTYGTCGTAGGAGTGACGATCTATATATGAGTGCTGTAAGAGATATGATTGCAGGAGATCTAATAGGTAGATCTAGATGATTATTTATCATAAATGATGATCTATTTTTTTGTTATTGATATTTTGGTTATAAAAGTTTGACATTTTTTGTTATTGATATTT